GACTTGACTTCCGACTTAACTTCACTCTGTCTGAGTTGAGAATGTACAGGGCGCAGGGTGGGAGCAGGGTAGGAGCAGGGAGAACAATCAAGAGGTTAACCATGGAAATCCAGAAAAGAGATAATGATGCTTAGAAGGAGATTGGATTCTAGGTGTAATTTAAAACTAGATTTCCTGATCAATTAAATGTGAGGTATGAAAGAAGAAGAGGGGAGTCCAGGATGACTGAGACCTTTGGCCCGGACCACAGGAAGGATGGAATGGTCATCAGCTGACACAGCGGGAAAGATCGATGTTTGGAGGGAGAGAAGATCAGTAGCTCGGTTTTGCAGATGCTAAGTTTGAGATATCTATGTAACTATAAATAAGATGGGCCTGGCTGGGCGTGGTGTCTCACACCTGTAATCCCAGGAATTTGGAAGGCTGAGGAGGGAGGATCTTGAGGCCAGAAGATCAAGACCAGATGTGACAACTTAGCAAGACCCCATCTCTAAAAAAATTTTTTAAAAATTAGCCAGGACATGGTGGCACGGGCACACACCTGTAGTCTCAATTACCTGGAGGACTGCTTAAGCCCAGGAGTTTGAGGTTACAGTGAGCTATGATCATACCACTGCTCCCCAGCCTGGGCAACAGAGCAAAATACTACCTCTAAAAAATAAAAAAAATTAAATAAAATAGGCTTTAGTACAGCCAAATGTACCAACAGAAAAAAACAATTTAATTGTTTAAAAATTTGTGAGTATAAAAAGTGATTATTGAAAATGAAAAGAGAAATGAAATTGCCAGTTTAATTTTGGCGATTATCACTAGACTTCAATTACTCTTATTTTAATAAATATGCAAAGGGCTGGCAAAATACAAATGCATTATAAACTTATACTTTTAAAAGAATGGATCATTACACATAAACTGCTTTACTTTAGAAGCAAATGAATAGGCTTAAATGCTCTATATTTACATAAATTATTCAAACAATGGTGTGGCTTTTTCAGTTCATAAAACTTTTTACAACATATTTAATGATGGAGACATTATGTTACAACGTGCACTTTGCCAAAGTAATCATGAGCTATGGAGAATGTTGTAGATCAAAGCTCTTTAGAGAAAGACAACGATTAGCTTTAATTGCTAAAGAAGCTATTTTGAGTTATGTGTAGCATGGCAGGAAACAGGCCAGTATTAAAAGTGGTGAGCAAGAAGAAAGACTTATGTTTGAGGCTGCTCAGTAATTTGTTTGACTGGTAGGATTGGTATGAAGTGAATAAACCATTGTTTTCAAAGGCCTTAGGGTATTTTCTGAAGCTGAGGCAAAACAAGCTCTGATTATTGAACAAATCCCTTTCAAAATCTACATACTCCACTTTAGATCCAAATGCAAGTTTATCTAATCTCTAATCTAAAATTTAGCTCTTTTGCCTTTTTAAAACCTACAGATAATTCTTCAAAAATATTTATATATTGGTAATTAATAAACACAAACATAAACCCTATGTTGTTCCAGACACATTACTACATATCACCATTAATAAAGGTATGCAGTACATGCTCCTTTCAGAATTCCCCAAATAAATGATAGCTATCTATGGTCACATTAGCCAAACACATGAGAACAACCCAAGATTTAATTATGTGCTGTTTTTTTGTTTTTTTGTTTTGTTTTTTTTTTGAGACAGAGTCTCACTTTGTTGCCCAGGCTAGAGTGAGTGCCATGGCGTCAGCCTAGCTCACAGCAACCTCAAACTCCTGGGCTCAAGCAATCCTGCTGCCTCAGCCTCCCAAGTAGCTGGGACTACAGGCATGCGCCACCATGCCCGGCTAATTTTTTTTTGTATATATATTTTTAGTTGGTCAATTAATTTCTTTCTATTTATAGTAGAGACGGGGTCTCGCTCTTGCTCAGGCTAGTTTCGAACTCCTGACCTCGAGCAATCCGCCCGCCTCGGCCTCCCAGAGAGCTAGGATTACAGGCGTGAGCCACCGCGCCCGGCTAATTATGTGCTGTTTAAAGGATCTAGATCTGAGCACTACTGATGTTATGGTTTGTATTAATTCTTTGTTTTGGGGGGCTGTCCTGTCCAGCATTGTAGGATGCTGACCATATCCATATCCTCTACTCCCTAGATGCTATCTATCAGCAACTCCCATGAGCAACATCAAGCCAAAATGTCTCCAGATACAACCAATGCCCCATGGAAGGCAGGGGGAGAGGGCGGGTATGTGCATTGGCAAAACTGTCTCCAATTGAGAACTACTAATCTAAGATACGTATCTTCAATTAAAATTAAAATTACATTATGGATATGACACTTCAGCAACCTCACCATTCACAACTTGCAAGGGATTTGCAATCAGGTGGGAATAAAGGTGTCCAGTGTGATAATCCCTTGCTCCATGTAGGATGTCCTCATTAGCACCTCATTCTCTTCTCTGCTCCAGGCACTCAAATGTTCTTAAGAGTTTAGAGAAATTGAGAGTAGCTTCTCTCCCCTGAAGGTAGGCAACACTTACGATTGATCAATAAGCCGATCAACAGTACCCAATCTGTTCGGCAGTTCATCTGACAATACTAAGATGTGGCCTCATTTCGGGGATGTTGCTCTCTGCATGGTACACATTCAAAGTTTTAAACAAAGAGTAGTAGAAACATTGCTAGACTGCTGTATGGGGAATTATGGGATGAGGTCATTGAAGCATGGGCGACTGGCCCATCAGGCAATAGGGGGCAACCAACCCACCAATTATTTCAAAAGGCAATAGTGGGCAACCAATCATTTTAAAGGTCAACTCATGATCCATTCGTAGTCAGCTTGTGCACCATGGGGATAAAAGGCATGCCGTTGGTCCGGTCGGGGTCCTTGCCTGTGAGAGTGGCCACTGTGTTGGTGCTCTGGGGCTTGGACCCTGGCTAGCCAGAAAATAAACCTCCTCTTGTGTGATTGCAAAAAAAAAAAAAAAAAGAGTAGTAGAAACAAAGTGGAAGAAATGTGGCAGTGTAGCAAGTTTATTGATGACCTGCTATGTATTATGTGAGGGGATACAGTATAAGGCAACAAAAAACTGAGTCAGATGAGTAAAATATATATTGGGAGGTCAGACTGTAATGAATGAGAAACAGTAAAGTTGGGATGGGGTGCAATGGTCTGAATGTTTGTATCCTCTGGTGACACACTTACCCCCAGGGTGACAGTGGAGATGGAACTTTTGGGAGGTAATTAGGTCATGGGGCTGAATGAGCCCTTATGAATGGGATTAGTGCTCTTTGAAAGAGGCCCCAGAGAAAACTCTCACGCCTTTCAGTGCCTGAGGTTATAGTGAAAAGACACAGACCAGAAAGCAGGCCCTTTCCACACACAGAATCTGCCCGTACCTTCATCTTGGACTTCCAGCCTCCAGAAATGTCAGAAACAAACTCCTGTTGTTTGTAAGCTATCCAGTTTACTGTATTTTGTCATAGCAACCTGAATGAACTAAGACATAGGGCAATATAAAATATCAGGGATTAAGCGGAGGTTAAAATGGGTGCCAGGGAAGGGCCAAAAAAACCAATGAAAATACTATGAAAAAGAAGCATAAAGTACTGGGTAATTGATTTAATATTTGGAAATATTTCCATCAGCTAGAAAACTGTATATAATTAATTCATATTTAAGATAGGAAGTAAATATATTTAAACAGCGATATTATTGCAGAACTGCAAAAACAAGGTCAAGTACTGTCTCCCTAAAGAATGAGATTATTTTGGCACACAGCAGCTCAGAAAGGACACTGCTGAGATTTATCTCAATTTAGTGACTGAAAAACAATGAAGTAATGCAACGCATCTTCCAAAAAAAAGCTTTATAAGTAATGAAATTCCTCTTTTGCAATTACATGAAGTAGACTTCTATTCATCTTTTATATTTTTACCTCATATTTGATCTTTGTCAACTCAGGTCTAATAAGCAAGGTGGAATTTTGTATTTTGGAAATAAAATGAGTTAAATAATGGTCCGAAAAATTTCTCTGTTGATATTCACATCAATGTTATAAAGGAACAGTATGGTCAAAAAAAAAAAAAAAAGTTGTTTTAAAATTCTTTCAGAAATTCTTAAAACACACAACTTTAAAGAATAACACCAGTTCTCTTATAATGCATTCTTCATAACACTTTTTTTCTTAGCAAGAACAGGAAATGGACCAAACTATACACAAAATAAACAAAATAGAAATTGATTTTTCCAAAGTGTAGTAATTCTAAAAACGCCCAGTATTGTTTCTTCGCTGAATGTCCAGCATTCATTGTATATGAAAATCTAACAGGAAGAAAGTATACATTACACCATAGGGTAGCTTAGCTTTTGTGTTACATTTCAAAAGGCCTTGTTCTATCACCAAAATGATAATTTTGTGCTTCACAAAGTTAATATCCAGTTCACTGGAAATTTCTTTGTAAAAGGAAAACGGTCACTAAATAAACATTCAAAGCCTTTTAGTGTTGTTATTTTTTTCTTTCCCCTTCTTGGCCACTGAATCCTGAGGGAGGGATTGCTTGCTTTCCATTTCTATGGATGACCTTACTGAAAGACATTTTTAAGGCCCAGTTCCTTAACATTATCAAAGAACGTTCTCGTTAACTATGTTAAATGCTGTTTTAGAATTATCTGTTTCACGGATCCTCAGACATTTAGCAAGTCATTTCCTCCTGATGGTAGTCCCAAACACATTTATTACCCAGACAGTAAGTCAGGCCCTGTGCTAGGCCAGCACAATGCATGAATGTGCAAACAATTTCAGCAACGTGTACAGACCCATAATAGAGAAATGTGTAAGTAGTTTCAGGAGCAGAGCAAATAACCTCTGCCTGAGAAGGTTGACAGACTGACTCTTTTCTAAAAAGTGATAGATGCAAGTCCACCTTTTATAGTTTAAAACCCTTTCTCTGTGTTCAGCATTTTTCTATATCACCTTCATCGGTCAACAAAGCACCTGCCCCGATTACAACCCCCCAATAAGCAAACCTTGTGGCTTTGAACTTGCAGTCGCTGGCGCTTTCCCATTTATTCCCTGAGCCTCTTCGTCAGACACATTCTGATCAACCAGCGTGGTTGTGCTGCTTGTGGGACAAAGTGGAACGATAGTGACCTCTGGACAGGTACTGCTGCCTGTGAGAGTTCGAAAAGAAAGGGCAGGTGAGAACGGAGGCAGAGCACAACTCTGTTTTGTGAGTTAAATTTCTCCTGACCCCATAAAACAGAAACAGTCACGGTTACAAGACTAAGCATAGAAATACATTTCCCATATGGGCTGGCCTCGCCAAAGGGTTTTCCTGGGAAAGAGCTCATTCCATGAGCCTTAGGAACCTTACAAGGCATGCTAAAACAGGAGACTGCCACATACCCTGAGGAACCTTACAAGGCATGCTAAAACAGGAGACTGCCACATACCCTGCTCCCTTCCTAGCAGGGCCGCTGAAAGGGCAGAAGGCAGCTGCTGCAATGTAGGCGGAGAGGACGGGAGGCCCCCGCACTAATCTGTTAAAAGCGTTCCTTTCCACTGTCCAGTCAGTCGCCAGTCATCCAGCAACTCAAAAGAACAAAGCAGGAAAGCACCAACGAGACAGCTGACCTAAAGACTCTACAAGAATGGCTCTGTTAGGAAAGTACAAACACACACGGGCACCTGCATGTGCACACGCACAACTTCTCACCCACTAGCTTACTCAGCCTACACATCGACATCCATGACGTAAACTAGCGGTTAACCCCAGTTTTCCAAAGAAAGAATCGTAAGCCTGGACAGATGACACAGTCACGTTTGTTTAGAACTCGAAACCCCAAAATATTCTCTAAAACAACACTGGAACACATCATAAGACATAGATGATGGGAAAAGATTAAATTTTTTGTTCAATTTCGGATGTAAGAAGTTACATGTTGAATTTCAGAGACTTTTTAGAGTCCTAAGTCAGAGGCTTTTTAGAGTCCTAAGTCAGTATTTTCTCTTTCTGATGCATATTAAATCTCCTTCTCTTTTGGTTGACCTGGTGATATTGACCACACTGGATTCTGCTTAAGAGAAAATAAAATTTCGACCAGGAAGTTCACTGTAACTGAATCAAAGTATGCGCTTTAAGGAACTATCATTTGGTTAACAAAGATTTTCATTTTTATAGACTCCAAATATTAAAGGGAGAACTATTAAGAGATCTTTTTAGAAAGGCTTTATTATTCAAATGGCTTAATAACATTCAAGCCACCTGCTAGGGTCTAGTGAAGGATGGCTTTGGGGCAGAAGAGTAAAGCATCATAACTCAACTGCAAACCAAAGGAATAAACTGTAACATAATCATAAAATGAAGTCAAGAACGCAGATTTAGCATTGATTTACAAGAGAAAGCAATAACAAAATAAAAAGAGGGCAGGTTAATGGGTTAAATGAGAAAACAAATTAAGTTGAGCCTTTAAAAAATAGATCACCACTACTACATATTAAATTATGAAACAAGTTTAATAATTAGGTTATTTAGAGACAAAGCATGTCTTATGTAAATATTAACTTGAAAACTATTTAGAAACTTAACTTCTAGATAGCAAACTTTCAGGGTATGGTGGGTTTTACAAGTGTCATATTTATGGAAAATGTCTTTCATGAATGTGCCCAAATACCTGCAATAAAAGATCAACCATGTATCTAATTACTTATAAATCCATCAAAGTCATGATTACAGATCTTTTGCCAGTGGAAACTTCATTTCAGATCATTGTTTAAAACAAGTCTCCAAACTTCAGCCACTATCACAAAAGCATGAAAACATTGTGAAGGACACAAAGAATATTTACATTTTTAAAGGGTTGTTTAAAAACACAAAAAAAGCAATACAAATATACAACAGAGATCATTTGTGGCCTTGCGGCCACAAATATTTACTATTTGGTCATTTTACAGGAAAAGTCCTGCTGACCACTGGTACAGGTCAAACATATCATGGCAAAAGAAGTTTGTCTAAAAGAAGCACTATTCCATTAAACACTTCATCTGCTAACATCTCGGATACTAGCAATAAAAAGTAAATCTTTTTGCTTGTTTATGACTGACTCAGCCAACTCATACTAGGAAACAGTCCTTATTTGGGTGTTAGTTGCATAACGGAATTGAAACCAAAATTCTAATCAGACAGTTCACCAATTCAAGAAATTTTACATCACCTACAGTGGCTGTTAGATTCCAAATTATCAAGAACCAATAGGAGTGACTGACAATTATAAACACTTATCTCAGGCACAGATGTAACTAATTACAGTATGTTAGCTTGGGGCAGGGTAGGTGATCCATTTAAATACTTTCACCTCGAGGACTGGTAATCTTTTTAGCCACTGGCATTACCCATTTTGCTGTTTTTGGGTTACTCACTTATGCTTGCTGGGTCATATACTCTGCAGGAAATACCTAGACATCCACTAACCACAGACATTCTCTCTCAACCATCCCCATCTTTGGCTGCATAAGGCTCCCTTTTCCAACTGGAGAAGTTGCTAATATGGCTTAACTTTATCTGTCCTTTTTGCATTTCAGTAGTCATGCATTATGTCTTGACAGGTTAGGGTAACTTTGGACTACTATTAATATTTACAGAATTGTTTTGGGCTGTTATATTTTACCAAAACATCATTGAATGGCTCTTTCACACTGTAAGGTTGTACTCTCTCTTTGGCCATCCATTCCAAAAGAAAGTCCGCTCAGTTCTCTGATTCTTCAGGCCTGACCTCTTGTCACCAGTGTCTATGACCTCAGTTTACATCTTTATGGTCTTCCTTATGGCTCTGGTTATAGCACCTCATTTGTCCACACATTTATCCAACTGCACCAAGTCTCTAGCCCAGAAGATCCAGATGGACTCCACCCCCTGGGACAAGAGGATATCTTATATTTAAGAAGGCAGAAGTAGTTTTCTAGAAAGATGATCTTTTTGGGTATAAATGGGCCAGAAGGATAAACATACTTTAAGTAAACCAAAACAAAAGCCACTCTACTTTGAAATAATGTTAGATTTAGAGAGGAGTTGTATCCAAATTCCCCTAATGTTGGCCATCTCATATAACCATGGTATATTTATCAAAACATTGGTACAATACTAGACTTTATTCAGATGTCACGAATTTTTCCACAAACATCCTTTTTCGGTTCAATCCAGGCTATCAAGTTGCATTTAGTTATCACTGTCTCCTTAGTTACTTCAATCTGTGAGAGTTACTTTTTGACTTTACTTGGCTTATATGACTTTGGAATTGTGTGTGTGTGTGTGTGTGTAATTCTGACTTTACTGCTCATTAATTATGTCACTCTACACAATTTTAAGTAAACAGACATTGAGAAAATATACTGAGAATATTAAAAGTGATAGCAATATCAATGAGACTGTTCAAGTGTTTTATATAAGGTAATTAGAGGCACCACTCCCACCATCACCCCTAGAAACTTGTACATTTCATATAAAAAGAGTAAAAATAGTTTATTGGCATATAACTAGCATTATTCTTTGCAATCCATGAGCCAAGATAAGCCTGAACAATTTCAGAATCTTTAGAACAAAACATTTTCTTCCACTAGCAGATATTTCTTTAAAAGAATAAGCAGACAAATCAACACAACAATAAAAACTACACATACACAATCCTGTAATGAAAATTGGTATATTCCAGTTGTCCTGAATTTTAATGTAATTTGCTCTAAATTAATTCAAAAATTAAAACGATTCAGCTTTTGAAAATGAGACTAAACTCCTTCACTGTAATTATACTTACTTTATAATTCAAACAATTTATCCAAAGCTAACCAGTAATGTATCCAAAGTTAACCAGTAAAAACCATGGATACAACTCAAAGTGCTCGTATGCTAAGATAACTTCTTTAAAAGTTAATTATTCTTTAAAAACTCAGACCCAAGCTGCACAGGTATACCTTGAGGAATTAACAATCTACCCTCCCAGATACAGCAGTAGTTCTAAGTGTTCTTAAAGCTGGGGAGCATATACAAAAATCACTGTAAACCATAAACATCAGTAACTTTTCTTGGTAAAACTACACCAACAGCCGGGCGCGGTGGCTCACGCCTGTAATCCTAGCACTCTGGGAGGCCGAGGCGGGCGGATTGCTTGAGGTCGGGAGTTCGAAACCAGCCTGAGCGAGACCCTGTCTCTACTAAAAATAGAAAGAAATTAATTGACCAACTAAAAGTATATATACAAAAAATTAGCCGGGCATGGTGGTGCATGCCTGTAGTCCCAGCTACTTGGGAGGTTGAGGCAGGAGGATCGCTTGAGCCCAGGAGTGTGAGGTTGCTGTGAGCTAGGCTGACGCCACGGCACTCACTCTAGCCTGGGCAACAGAGTGAGACTCTGTCTCAAAAAAAACAAACAAAAAAAAACTACACCAACAGTTTCTTCCATTGATGATTACAAAAACAAGCATTGTAATAGTCCAGCATTTGGAAGACTTCTATGTACATTATTAAAAAGAAGCTCAGATTAAGAACTATTTTTGAGGCAGAAAGCATCAAGCGCTGGGATGGGGACGCTTGCCGCCTCCCTACCATTCCACATCCCCCCCTCCCCCACGGTGCTGTGTGGGGCAGGCTGGAGTCCGCAGTGGGTGCGTGCTGTCTGGTCCCTGCGCAGATGCCAATGTCCACGCTCTATGCTCGCCTGCCTGCCTCCTGTCATCCGGCCACGCTGCTCGCGTGATCCTGATTGGGTCATTTTTGAATCCCACAGTTGTTGATTGGATGTTAAAGCTTGTTGTTGATTGGACGCTTTTTGAGCCCTACCAAGGCTATAAAAGCAGGAGGAGAACAAGGAAGGGGGGTCAGAAGATGAGAAGACGTGGAGAGAGCTGTAACACTAGGTGTGCTGAGCCTGCCAGAGGAATAAAGGCTATAAAAGTAGGAGGAGAACAAGGAAGGGGGGTCAGAAGATGAGAAGACGTGGAGAGAGCTGTAACACTAGGTGTGCTGAGCCTGCCAGAGGAATAAAGGCTGTTCTCCCACTCTTCATGTGCCTCAGTTCTTTCCCCCCCGTCAAGAGCTGTAACATTAGCTGTACATGTTGCCACAACATTTTCACACTTGAAAAGACACTCCAGAAAGAAATAAGACTTGAGATGTGGT